GACCTGTGAGTGGAGTTCCAAATGTTGAAGATGGATTTTTTGCCTCTCCCTGGAAATGAGTGCAGCTAGAAGGGTCAATATCACAGTCCCTCACCCATGCAGGAGGCATATTGTTCTCCATTTTCTGCTGTTTTTGCCTCCTTCCCTTCCCTTTGTTGTTTCTGTTATCTCAGATTTCAAATTTTTAAGCTCCTTGGGATAAGGGCCTGCCTTGTTTTCCTCAATAAAAAGCCATAAACATTGATGACACTATACAAATACATAGAAATTATATGATAACCAGCATTTATGGGTTAGTAAGACAAAGTTTGGCTTGTAATGCATCACTTTCCAGTGACCCTTTTGAGAAAATAAACTTCTGTTTCAATCAACATTGCATCACAATTATAGCTGGTGTAGTTTTACTTTCTAGTACACTTTCTCTGGATAGCAATGACTGGTACCGAAATCTGAACAAAACACAAAAAATCAGACAGACTGCATAGTCACCATCTGTACTTCATCTTGCTAATTGTTAGGCTTTTTTAAAAACATAGAAAAGGGCAAAGAGATCTTTAAGAGTTAAAGTGCACCAAGTGAGTGGATTCCTCACTACATTGTTGGGAATGATAAATTGATACCACATGTTGATTCCAGACAAAAAAGCCTCTGTATTCCAGTGGAGGCTCTTGCAGCTGGTGTCTGAATTAATAGGCAAGCTCCATAAGGTAAACATGGTATGGAAGAGGCTAAAACAGATGCTGTGCTGGGAGGATTGGGGAAATTCTTGTAGGAGAGGATTGGCCAATTTTCCTTGCCCAAAGAAGAAAAAAACATGAAACACTTCCAAATGACTCAACGAAATAGGAAGGGCAATTAGTGGTACACATGAAATGGGCTAAACAGTGTAAACTTTCCTGATGTGAGGTATTCCATGGCATCATCCTTTTGAAATCTGTGAATAAACAAAGTTTTTAAGATACAATGCTGTTTTTAATGAAAGGATGTAATCCTGTTTTTCTTAAAGATAGTTGCTCGTAGTGTATTGGAGACAAGATTTGTTAATCTAGAGATACAATATTAGAGGGATACATGTCATGGAAGGGTCTTTCCTTCTTTCAGGTCATGGGGGATTTCAGCCTTGGGGCAGAATCCTGCACTGGTGTTTTCAAAATGGTTTATTAAAATTGGTTGGAAAGGTAGCAATTGGACTTCTTAAGGCTTGTAATGCTAGTTTCAGGCAGATTGTAAATGTGTGTGGGGAAAATGCATTCCAAGGACTATTTTAATCTTGCATAAACTAACTTGATTCAGATGTTAGCTGGTATTGCCTGTCTCGGAGAAGCGTCATGGGAACAAAAGTATCAGATGAAGAAAGAAACTGAAAAGGAAGTCAGAGCACTTGGCATTGGCCTAAACTCTTGCATTTATGTTACAATTTACAGTTTACCTTTGTTCTCTTCAGGGTCATTTTCTATGAATACATTAATTCATTCTGTCAGTACACTGTCTGACCTTTTCATCATTATTATGGACTGTTTATATAACATGTTCATGTTCAGAGTGTCTTGCATTTTTAATTTTTTATTTATTGGCTGAATAGATGGAGTTTTGGATCAAAGAGTTCTGGGTACAAATCCCACTTCATCATGGACTAATTAGATGGCACTCAGCATGTTAATGTCTCCCAGACTTTGTCCCCATGTTAAAAATGGGAATAATAGTGGCCTATGTCATACCTATGAGGTAGGCCACTATTATTTCATTTGGGAACTTTATGAGGTAGGCACCTGTCACAACCCCTGAGCCAGGCCTTTCTCTTGTTACTGTATTATCTCCCCCTTTACTGATAAGAAGCCCCTCAGGCTGGTGAGTTGTACACCACCTCACCACCCACACCCTGCTTTTATATTACTTAATATTAGAGTCACTGTCCTCTTTAAGTGTGTGAAGCGGATTACTTTTTATTAGCGTGTCCATTTTGACATGCCTTAATCCGGAAACAGAGAGCACATCAACTACAAATGCAGACCCCTGTCTTTCACAGCACCATTACCTGTTCCCATTTTTAAAGATGGTGAACCAAGTTGGAAAGAGATCGACATACTGAGGGCTATCTAAGTAGTCTATAACTAAAGTAGGGTTTGAACCCAGAATGATCCAGAACTCTGTCCACTCAACCATATTGGCTGTGCTAACTGAAGAGAAGATGTTTTACTTTGAGAATTGTCTTCTAAGAAGGCTATTCTTCTAAAATTATCTTCTCCCAGGCCCACAGCCAGTGGGGGGGGAACCTCATGGAGCTCCACCCCCTTTCAAATTTGCTCTTCCTCCATTCCCCCTCCTCTCCCAGAGGTCCCCCTGCCTGATCCCTACCGGGAGCCCGGGAAGTGGGAAGAGGTGCCGGCAGTCCTTCTCCCCCACCACCCTCGCTGTGCACCTCGTGGTTGTCAGGCAGAAGCAGGAAGACTGCCAGTGAGCCCACGCCACTCCAACAATCAAAGAGGCGCAGGGGGGAGGTAAACAGCTGCCTGCGAGCGGACACTTCGAGGTAGGGAAAAGTCACCTTCCTCTATCCCTGGAGGCTGGAAAAGTTTAATTTGTTTATTCAATTAATTTAATTTAATTAATTACTCTAATTTTATTTAATTGGAGCCCCCCGTTGTGTTGGAGCCCTCCCATGAAAAAAACCCTGGCTATAGGCCTGTCTTCCCCCTTTCACCTAAAGGAATCTTGTGCCTCCACACCAGTAATTCAGTGTAAGTGTGAGAGCTCCAGGGCATACATGGCGTTCTCTACTACAAAACAACTTGCTCTGTCATTCAAATAAGGGAGGCCATTACACATAATGCAGCTGTGCATGTACAGAGCTGCTCGTTTTAGTCAAGTAAATGAAGAAGCCAGCTAACACAGATGTTCCATGAGCCTATCAGAGTATACAGGGTTCAGGTGATGTGAAAACAGAAAACACTCTGGTATCTTTTTTTATTGAAGCCATGGTTAGAAACAGAGATCTAGCTGGTATGCTTCCACCCCTTTTCCTAAATATGATAATCCGTGATGACTCTTCTGTGCATAGAAGTGAGAAGAATGGGTTTGGCTTTTTTCTTTAGCAGCCCTGGCTGCACACACAATGTTTTTTAAAGAAAAATATACTTAACAATTGAATGAAAGAAGCATGTGGATTACATTTCTTTGCACACCCCAGATGTCTTCCATTAACTTAATGTCATCTGCTGTCTGTGTCAGTGGTAAGAATGCCAGTGTGATTCATCCACCTTCAACAAGAATCCCTGTGGCAAATTATAACCAAAATTTAGCAATTTGTGTGATCCTGTTGCCTTTCAGTTTTCAAAATAGCTTGCAGAAAGCACATGTTTGTTTTTTCTGCATAGATAAAGATTGCTGTATGCCAGTTTTAAAAAACATCGATAAATTTGCCTTCCACATAAGCATTCAGCACCATTACAGGGGTTTTGCCAAGGTGGCATGCCTCCAAAATGCTACATCTTTGTGCATAAAAACCAAGAATGTAATTCAAAGATGCATTTTAAGCACTGGTTCAGCTAGCAGAAGCTTTCTCAATAGAGTCGATGGAAATGGCCTTTGTCATCCTGGCCCATTACATTGCATGGGGTCTGAACACCATAGCATTACTTAAATAGCACAGAGATTTCTGGGAAGCTAGTGTGTTTTCTCTTTTCGTACAGGTAGTTATAATCGCACCAACAGTACTTCCACTTCCTATGTGTGATGCTTCTCATAGCAACTGACTGGATCTTGGCATCACTGGGACTTTTAACAGGTCCACTAAATGTCTGTAACCTTACATGCCAATAAAGGTTGTCTGTCTGTCTGTAACCTAATAGCTGACTGTGCTGTATATAATGGCAAGTCTTCTTTGAAAAAAATTATGACAAAGGTCTGAGTAACAGAATAGCAACATGCAGCAAAGAGGGCCGAACCAATGCAGGACCAAGGAAGACAAGGAAAACATGATGGTGCAGTTATGTGCTTCGCATGCAGCTTTGTCAGGGGATCTGTAAGGCAACTGTCTCTTAGAGCATAACCTTATTACAATGAGAACATACTAAGAGATAGTTACTTTACAGATCCCCTGGAGCTGTATGCAAAATGTGTAGGGATTTTCAAGTGAAATAAAATTTCTTTTCCCACTACTCCATCATTTTTTTTCTAGAAGAGTAACAAGTCATTTAATTCATGAGAGAGAAAATAATGGATTGTTACTATGGAGTAAATTATTACAGCAGTTGCTGCTTGCAGAAGACATTCAGTTTAAACATGACCCAGGGTTTTACCCAGTAATTTTAAACACATGTATTTGAAAGCAAAATTTGAGGTGCATCATGTTTTTAAATATCATGTTTTTAAATATCAGCACAGCCTATCTATTAGTTGTTTCACATAATTTATTGTTTTACGATAATCCCCACAGTATCTCAATAAAGCACTCTGAGAGGAATGTCAATATTTAGTTAAATAATTACTTAAATTTAAATAATAATCCTCTTCACAAGTTAGAGTATACAGATTTATTATTTGGGAAGCCTTAATAGAGCTGTTGAGGTCATCATAAAAAACACAATACCTAAGTCAGTTACAAAATTACAAAATAGCATCAGTGCTGAACACTGTTTCCTACAGAAGAGTTGTATATTCAGTACAATGCCTAGGAGGTTGTTCACGTAAGCTTTGCCAATGAGAGGGTCTATCACTTACTGGTAGAACATCTGCCCTGTACACAGAAGGTCCCAGGTTCAGTCCTTGGATTAGTTAATGTGAAATATCTCTACCTGAGACACTGGAGAGCTGCTACCAGTCAGAGTCCACAATCCTGGACTTGAGCACCCAGTGATCTGATTTAGTAGAAGGCAGATTCATGTGTTTGTAAGCAGTAGTAGGTGAAATAGTAGTAAGATCACTTTTGCAAACTGATATAAACATTTGTCCTTTATAGTCATAGTGTTCCCCCCCCCCCTTTTTTTTTTCCTTGCAGAATTCCATCAGGCACAATTTATCCCTTCACAGTCGATTCATCAGGGTACAGAATGAAGGAACTGGGAAAAGCTCATGGTGGATGATCAACCCAGACGGTGGGAAAGGTGGGAAAGCACCACGGAGGCGTGCTGTTTCAATGGACAACAGCAACAAGTACACGAAAAGCAGAGGACGAGCGGCTAAGAAAAAGGCTGCTCTTCAAGCTGCCCAGGAAACTACTGAAGACAGCCCCTCCCAGCTCTCCAAATGGCCAGGCAGCCCAACCTCACGTAGCAGTGATGAGCTGGATGCATGGACGGATTTCCGGTCTCGTACAAACTCAAATGCCAGCACAATAAGTGGCCGCTTGTCACCAATATTGGCAAGTACTGAGTTAGATGAGGTCCAGGATGATGATGCTCCACTATCACCCATGCTGTACGGTAGCCCACCCAGCATGTCCCCATCGGTAAATAAACCCTGTAATGTTGAGCTGCCTAGGTTGACTGATATGGCTGGCACCATGAACTTGAATGATGGCCTGACAGATAATCTTATGGATGACCTTCTGGATAATATCACACTCCCCTCTTCCCAGCAATCACCCACAGGAGGACTCATGCAAAGAAGCTCAAGTTTTCCTTATGGATCCAAAGGTTCAGGTCTTGGTTCTCCATCAAGCAGTTTCAATAATGCTGTGTTTGGACCTTCATCTCTGAATTCCCTCCGTCAGTCTCCCATGCAAACCATCCAAGAGAACAAGCAAGCTACATTTTCTTCCATGTCTCACTACAACAACCAAACGCTGCAGGATCTGCTAGCATCGGATTCGCTGAGCCACAGCGATGTCATGATGACTCAGTCTGATCCACTCATGTCACAAGCTAGCACAGCTGTGTCTGCCCAAAATGTACGCAGGAGCATTATGCTCCGGAACGACCCAATGATGTCATTTGCTGCTCAGCCAAGCCAGGGCAGTTTGGTCAATCAGAACCTGCTCCACCACCAGCATCAGTCCCAGAATTCTTCTCTCAGTGGCAGCTGTGCCTTGTCAAATTCCATTGGTACTATAGGCTTAAGTGACACAAACAACGTAGGGTCGGCCAAACACCAGCAACAGTCACCTGTCAGCCAGTCTATGCAATCACTTTCTGACTCACTCTCAGGCTCTTTATATTCCAACAGTGTGAGCCTTCCAGTCATGGGGCATGATAAATTCCCCAGTGATTTGGACCTAGATATTTTCAATGGGAGCCTGGAGTGTGACATGGAGTCCATTATCCGCAGCGAACTCATGGATGCAGATGGTTTGGATTTTAACTTTGATTCCCTCATCTCTGCCCAGAATGTTGTCACTCTGAATGTGGGAAACTTCACTGGTGCTAAGCAAGCTTCATCACAGAGTTGGGTTCCAGGCTGAAGGATTTATGCAAAGAGGGAAAATGGTCAAAGCAGGTTAGCAATGTTTAGTCTGCTGGCATTCATTCGACTAGCGTAGACTGTGAAACTATAACATGTAGTAATGTTTTCTAAAAGAGTATAGTCTTAAGGACAATCTTGCTAGATCTTAGTGAACAGGTTGCAATGTTATGTAGTACAGTTATGTATCATGTGTCCTTCCTACATCAGTGGCTAAGGACTGGTTCGTGTAACCAGTATCATCTCTCCCTTATATATAAAGCCGTAGTGGGGCCCAACGTTTCAATTCACACCAACAGTGTTTGGGGGCTTGAACTGTCAGTCAGAAGACGCTGGCTGGGTTGTCTGGCTGCTTTGTGTAGTCCCGCCCACGTCAGCCCTGGCCAGAGTGTTCAGGTCAGTCTGCTCTGGGCCTCTGACAGGAGAGGACCATCTGCAGACTGAGTGCAGGGACGGGGCTTCTACGGCTGGGCCGCTTCAGCCCACTCTTCTCTGATTGGGCCAGCGTTTCAAGGTCATTTGCATATGGAAGCTGATTGGACTTCATTCCACACCTCAAACTCCCTCCCCACCCCTCTGCAAGACAGTTGGCATTGTCAGTTGCATATGGGACCTGCTGTATTCTGAGGTAGAATATGTCCTCACTCACAACACATCTCCTTCAACAGAAACAAACCCAATAACACAATCATTTGTTGTTGTTGTTCAGTCGCACAGTCGAGTCCGACTCTTCGCGACCCCATGGATCATCTCCTGCCAGGCCCTCCTGTCTTCCGCCATCCTCTGAAGTTGGCTCAATTTCATGTTCGTTGCATCGATGACACTGTCTAACCATCTCATCCTTTGCCGTCCCCGTCTTCTTTGACCTTCAATCTTTCCCAGCATCAGGGTCTTCTCCAGGGAGTGCTCCCTTCTCATTTGGTGGCCAAAGTATTTGAGCTTCAGTTTCATTATCTGGCCTTCCAGGGAACAGTCAGGGTTGATTTCTTTTAGGATTGACTGATTTGATCTTCTTGCAGTCCAAGGGACTCTCAAGAGTCTTCTCCAGCACCATAGTTCAAAAGAATCTATTCTTCGGCGCTCGGCCTTCCTTATAGTCCAACTCTCGCAGCCATACATGACTACTGAAAGACTATTGAAAGAGGTAGTCAATCTTTAAAGGTACAATTGTGGTCTTAGGGTACTGTCTCAGTGATGATCTGGTTCTTATAGATCCACATGGGTCAATGCAGGGGTAATTCATGAGGACAACCAGATGGATTTCACCTAGAGAACTGGTGTTGAGTAGTGATGGGCATGAACTGGGAAAATGTGGTATGGTTCATGGTATGCCAGCTTCATGAACCATGAAACATCACAAATAAACCAGTTTCATTTGTGAGGTTTGTGACATGGTAGAACACCCCTCAGCATGATAGAGACACCAAACTCACAAGGGATATCCGGCTAACCCACCTCTACCTACATGCCAAGGTTGGTGAGGATTGAATTTATGGGGTTCGAGTTATGGCTCCCCCAAAGAAGGTGTCCCCAGGAAAGCATTTTCTGGGGAAATGACAAGCACAGGTTCATGAGGGTCAGGATTGTATAGAATGGATCCTGTGCAAATTAAAGATGCCAAACATGCAAGAGATCTCCAGATGACTCTCCTCTACTTGCCCTCCAAGTTTGATGAGGATTGGATTTATGGGGTCCAAGTTACAGCCCCCCAAAGAAGGTGCTCCTATGGAGGGAAAAACAGCAAAAAAGCAAGGACAACAGAAGCCATGCAGAACAGAATCGAAGTCCCAGAGAATCTCTGCAGTAGAAACTGAAGGTTGGAGGCATTTTTGCAAGCCCAGCAGAACCAGTGCAATGTGCCCAGCAGAACTAGTGCCACTGTGGCACTGTGAACCCAACAGGACTAAGGTCAAGTCAGGGAAGTGTTTTTTGGGGGGACATGTCAGACACAGGTTCAAAAGTATATAGAATGGACCCCCTGCAAGTTACACACACCAAATGCACAGGGAACCTCACCCTGCCACCTGCTCTTTTACAATCTCTTCAAGTTGGGGGTGGATTACATTTCTGGCGTCCCAGTTACAGACTCCCCCAAAAAGTCTCTCCAATGCTCTTTCCAGAAAAGACAGCTGCAGTTACAGGAGTCTATGGAACAGCTCAGAAATAAGACAGCAAACTCACAGGGAAAGTTCACCTGGGCAGACCCCCCCATCAGACAGTGGAACCAAGGCAAGCATCCCCCCTATGCTTGCAACCCCC